TTGAAAAACATGTTTACTTTGAGAAAAACTTTGAGCTCATGCAATACAATCTACCATATACCCTTACAATTATATCTAAGTCCTAAAAGTGTAATCTAATAGGAATAAGGACTTATCTTCTTGTGTTGATTCTTGGATCTTGATCCTCACTTGAACTTAATGTTTTGACTTGTTGGATATGACAATACTTGACACGTTATTGGTTTTGATCATTTTCTTTTCTTCAAGGTTGTTCATGGTTTTGTTGCCTTTGATATTGATTTTTCCCTTCTTATTCTTCCTTGTTGCTCTTGATCCATTGCTATCTTTCCTCATAGCTCATCCACGTTCTTGCCACTTTAATATATATCTCATTACTCTTATTGTGTGGCTCAATCATGTATCTTTAATCTTCACACATGGTTGATGTTTTTTTGCTCTTGATCAATTTTATTCTCTTTTTGTTGTTACCACTTTGTTATCATCAAAACATATATTGTATCCACAATATCCACGCTTCAAGCTTAAATGACTCTTATGTGAAGGGGTGTATTAGAGAGATATAATATAAATCCATTGAAAGCTCATCACTTTCAAAACCTAAGCTTTTAGATGAGATGGTAGTTTATCACTTTCCTTCTTTGATTCGAAAGACCCGTTTGGTGGATGCAATAAGATCTGAATAAATATGATAAAGAACTGGGTATAATAGTAACAAATGATATAGGCTGACAATATGGACTAGATAAGAGTCTAAGAAATAATATATTTGATCTTTGAGGCGAACTATATGATGTCATGATATGAAATAAATCGTTAAAAATATCCCTTTTTTAATACAAATTGCATATGAATTTTTAATTTTTTTTCTTACTTAAACATTTGTTATTAATTATTTAAATTATTAAATTTTTTGAATATTAGTTATTATTTTAAATTATTAATTTTTTTGAAAATCATACATAACAATATAACTAATTATATCTAGTTGGTTCACCAAATAGATCTCAGCATGCAAAGAACAAAAGGAAACGGATAGTGTTCATGTGTCCTGCAGGAGCTGCAATATTTAATAATCTCTTCCTCAGTCAAACAAGCTGCGCCCTATCATTACGTTTTTACCTTGCAAGACCAACATTTTCATACTCACCAGACACCCTGGGTGACTCTATGACTCTTTGGTTTCCTGTGTTTTTGTGCATCCTCTTGTATGTTTTTTTTCTTAAATTGTACTTGATCTCTTCCTGTTGCACAATACTAAAGTTACCTATGCCTTTTTTACTCAATAATAATAATAATAATAATAAATGTGGATACTAGACATTTTTCCCAAATATAAGGTTAATTTATCACATACCAAAATCAAAAGTAAAAACAAAATTTTTAATTAAAGGAAGCAAGGAAATAAATAGGAATTTAAAGTGCAGTATTCAATGTGTTTCCTTTTTTTTTTTTTTTGGTAAGCTTTCAATGTGTTTCCTTTTACTTTTGTTCTTCCTATCTACCTATACTAATTAAAGAGAAGGATAAATCTTATTAAATCTTTTCGAAAATCATGTTAAGAATTCTTTTTATCAACTAGATAAAGAATGGAAAAAAATAACAAACAGAAATAATATTTAATAGGAAATTCAGTAAATATATGCCAACTAAATAACATATACTTAATTTGGCATAAATGTTATATATTTCTAAAAAAATAAGTTTAACAATCCTCGTTGGGGAAGGTTATACTTACAACCTATTTTCTTTACAACCTCTTACAACCATATATCTTAACCGTTGATTTCCGTCAATCAACGGTTATCATTTATTGTGATTTGATAATTAATTAATAAATTTGATTTGCGAAATTCTTAACCGTTGATTGACAGAAATCAACGGTTAAGATATATGGTTGTAAGAGGTTGTAAAGAAAATAGGTTGTAAGTATAACATTCCCCGTCTTCGTAACTATATATATTTTTTAATGACAAATTTGAAATTCTAAAAAGGATTATATGCGTATACCGTTTTAGACTTTTCTTGTTTTGTCTTCTTAAATAATTAGGAAGTTTGTTTGGCTGAATTTTTAGAAAGATTTAACATTTCTCCTTATAATTAATGTAATTATAAAACTACCATATAAGTTAAGCCACATGAATATACATAAAATTAAGAGGAACTTTACCAAAAGAAAAATTATTATAGTAACTTTATACAGATATTACAGTGAGAAATGTAAATCTTCTCAAATAATTGTCTAACAATTCCCTTGATTGATTGTTAAGAAGGAATGGAAAAAGAATAAAAAGGCATCTTAATTAATACATTTAAGCCTTTTCATGGAGTAATGCTAATTGCTAAATCCTAATAAGTAATTAGCATAATATTTTATAATTATTTAAAATAGAAAGTATTAAATAAAAAAATAAATATTTGATATATTTAAAATTTAAATTTTTTTAATATTTAGTTTCTTAAGTAATCAAAATGATTAGACAAATTCATAGAAGGATTTATAGTTGTTCTTATGCAATAAAAAATTTTGTTAGGATAATTTTGAAAGAATACCTAAGATTTATTTTTTAATAAATCATTTAAATTTTAATTTATACAACTCAATTTTTTTAAATAATATAAAATTAAAAAATAATATGCATTAAAAATTTTAAACTCATTTTCAACGCTTTGTTTTTATTTTAATTTAAGTAATTTATTTTACGTATATTAAATGGTCTAATGTCACATTATCTAGTTTGATCACTGTTTGATAGATGAGTGAATAAAAAAGTGCTTAATTTTTTATTTTTTTTTAGTTTCATATTATTATCTAATAATAGTTTCAAAAAATATTCAAGAGGATAGAGTTTATAGATAGTGATTATGATAGTTACTTTTTAAAAACAAATTAATATTACATAATTAAATACTGTAAAAAGATTTTATCATCTTAATGCATTAATTTTTTTTTTTTTTTGTAAATTAATGCATTAAAATTAAGTCCACTAAGAAATTCACTTTTCATTATTCTTGTTCTATAAATAAATGTACAAATAACATATTCTATTTCTATTTTAATTACACAGAGAGAATTTGGGAATAATATATTTAAGGCACTAGTTCAGTAAATGGATAACTATTAGATAAAAAATAAAGTAATTATTATAGTAAAAACACAAAAGAAATTAATATTTACTTTTTCAGTAATTTAAATTATTTAATACAAGACATTAAATATTCGCTAATCAATATCTTTATGAGACTGATTAGTAAAACTCATTTACTTTTTCTTACATTATTTTATTTTCTTTAAGTTAAAATATCAAATAAAATGTTTAAAGTATTAAATATTTTAAAAATAGAAAATAACAGAATATTTCCTTTAAATAGTTAAAAAATTTATTCTTCTCATTCATTAGGAAATTATTAAAACTTTTCAAAATGGAACCCAAAAAAAAAAAGTAGACAGCTAAACATGAGATGTAAGAATGATAGAAACTGAATGAGGGTTCAGGGTGTTTCAAATTTTTATGGTAAAAAGTGTGTCATTTTTACGTTCTTTCACTCTAACAAAAAGGTGAGACTCAAATCTTTAAAAAAATTTCTCCCATTCTCTCTTTCATAATTTATTTATTTTTCTTATTTAAAATGACACAATTTTATGTTCTTTAAAATAATATATATTTTTTGAGATTAGTATTATTTATAGGGGAAGGATATTGTGACAACCAAGTTGTCTTACTACCAAGTGACTATCAATCAATCTTACCGTTAGATCGATTATATTGATCCAACGGTTATATTTATTTCCATCTTTGTATGGTCATGATTCCTCAAATTTAATAATTTATATTTATTTTCACCTTTGTATGGTTATGATTTCTCATATTTAATGCTTTCATTTTAAATATGGGGAATCATGACCATACAAAGATGGAAATAAATATAACCGTTAGATCAACATAATCGATCTAACGGTGAGATTGATTGGTAATCACTTGGTAGTAACACAACTTGGTTGTCACAATATTCTTTCCCTTATTTATATTATAAAAGATAATTTTATCTCGAATATATATATATATATATATATATATATATATATATAAAACTATGTAAAGTTTATTTTTTTTCTTAATATAATTTTATATGAATCTATATATTTTTATGTGTTTAATGAAAAATATTATTCTCATATTCTTAAGCGGATGATGCTTTAAGGACAATTGAACTCTCCCTTTTTTTTTCAATATATTTCAGTTATTCTTTGAGAAAGCAAAAGCTTTCACAAACAAACATATTTTTTGTGTTTTGCCCAAAGCCCGAGAAGCAAGGCGGAGAGCAGAAAGAAAGAGCACAAAAGAAAAAACACCAAACCCCAAAAAACCAAACATTGATCAGTGACACTGACAACCCACACGAGCGGTTCTCGAATTGCATGCACACACACTCATGTACTTTACTTTGTTTAATATTTTCCCAAAGAGAGAAATGGGAGTTTTTTCAGTCTCAAAATAAGGGACCCCGTAATCTCATTTCAATAGGAGAGAGAAAGAGAAAAAAAGATAGAGAAAATAGCGTGAACACAATCGTGTGGGCTCTACTATTTTATATTTTTTTTGTTATTGCTCTAAATGCTTTCCTTTTCTTTCTCTCTCTAGCTTTCAAGTTTCAACAGGGAAAAAATAAAATAAAATAAAAAATCTCATCACTCTGTTATTTGCTTGGCTTCTTCTTTAAAACGTTGTTCTTTTATTCTCATATCTCAACTCCATAGGAAACTGCTTCTCTCATTTTACTCCCTCTCCCTTCTGTGACTCATCCATGGCTGTAAGAGAGAGGGAATATACAATGTACTTGAATCTCTTTGCCTTTTGATTTTATTTTCTTTATCCTTTTTTTTTCTCACCTTTCAAACCTTTCTCTTTTAACATCTTTTATGTTTTTTTCTTCCCTCATAGCACTGTGAAAGAACTCATTTTGGATTTTGCTAAAGTTGAACCCTTTTTTGCCTTTACTTTTCTGGGTCTTGAGTCTCCATGAGTTCACCACACTTCAAAAATGGTGGTTATGGTTTCTGTGGGGAAATGAATATTTCCCCTTCAACTCATGTTCCTTCTTCTTCTTCTTCTTCTCATCTCCAACCTTCTCTGCCTAATCCTTTTGGAATGATGGGTCATGCTGGGGACACAGAATCTGAGAGGTGTGATAAAGCCTTTCAGATTTTGAGCCCCTCAGTGTTCCATCCCCAAGAGAACCCCATAACAAGGAGAACCATTGATGAAGGGGATGATGGGAATTTTGGGGTTGAAAGCAAAAGCTTGTCTTTGAAACTTGGTGAGGAAGTTGAAGCTAAGAGTTCTTCAGCCACAGGGAAAATCGGGTACACTAAGCTTTGTGTTAGAGGTCATTGGAGGCCAGCTGAAGATGCCAAACTTAAAGAGCTTGTTGCTGAATTCGGTCCTCAAAACTGGAATTCCATCGCTGAGCATCTTAAAGGAAGATCAGGTAAATTCATAACCCATTTTTACTAAAATGGAAAAAGGTTATATTTTTAAGTGAAATCTGCTATAATTTTTTTTTTTTTTTTTTGAATATCTTCATGTGACAAGAAAATTCCTGAAGGTACTTGAATGATTTTCCAATTTTGAAAAGTACATCTTTTTTTTTTTTTTGAAAGGAATGTATAACCCTTCAGGCAGCATTTTATTGTGTTGTATACTAATTGCAGGAAAAAGTTGCAGACTGAGGTGGTTTAATCAGCTGGATCCTAGAATTAACAAAATGCCTTTCAGTGAGGAAGAAGAGGAGAGGCTCTTAACTGCTCATAAAATGTATGGCAACAAATGGGCTATGATTTCTAAATTCTTTCCTGGTAGAACAGACAATGCAGTCAAGAACCATTGGCATGTGATCATGTCTAGGAGGCAAAGGGAGGAATCAAGTGTCTATAGAAGGAGAAAACCCACATTTCAAAGTTTTCCAAATGGTTTAAATTTGACTTTATCAAACAATGTAGCTAGTGAATCAACCATGTCAAGCCCCATTGATGAATCTGCTTCAACCTGCACTACTAACCTCTCCCTCACCACCTCTTCAGCCAATCCAATTCCTAGACCTTTTCATAACATGAATCCTGTTCAGAATTACCAAGCCTTTGGATCACTAATGAGTATGCTTTTGATCCTTTATTTTGGCCTATGAAAAATTTAGTGTCTTAACATTCTTAATTTATGTTACATCTTATTGTTTATGTTTGTGTTAGATTTTTCAGGTTTATATGGAGAAAGCAGGGTACCAACCAAGGATGTGGGTTTTGACAATATTTTTAGTGCTTGGAACGGTTCACATGTGCGTGGATCCATGGTAAAACTCATGGGTGTGGACCAATCCAATTATTCAGATTCAAACTCTGAAGTTTCAGTATCTGAGTCAGTTGCTAACAAGAAGATCAATCTCTCTATTTCTGGGGAAAGTGCAAATGGTGGTGATAAAATTAACATGCCATTCATTGACTTTCTTGGGGTTGGAGCTACATAGTGAAGTTGTTGATGTCATAATCTTCACTCAAAGATACAAAAAGCTGAAGTGGGAAAGAGGAAGAGGTGTTAGGAAATAACATGTGGTGGTGTTTGGTTCTGTGGTGTAGAGAAATCGGTATGCTGGAATAGGTTCCTATCTGCAATCCTTGTGTACAGTTAGTTCCATAAAAGGCCAAAGATAATAAAGTAAAAGGTGAAATGAACAGAGGGAAAAATGAAAAAAAGAAAAGAAAAAATAGAGGTAGAGAGGAGAGAGAAAAAGTGTATGAGTTATGAACTATGACTTATGAGTAGTTATGAGTTTAAATGATTATAATAATTATGAAACTCTTGGTTTTGGACTGATCCAGCAACATAGTATTCAGTAGACAGTATAGTAGAGGTTTTTTATTCTGTGTTGTACTTGGGCATTTTGCAATTCAGGTAAAGCTAAAGTTTTGACTTAGGATTACTCTTTTAATGAATCGACCACCGACCCATTTTGAGTTACTTGCTATGCAGCTTCCTTGTCATTGGGGTTGGTACGTTTTTGTTTTTGGCTTTGCCTTCTGTATTTGCTCTTTGACCACATGTTTTACATGCACGACAATTAACGTGGCTCTCGCTTCTTCTACACTTGGTTCAGTTAATTATGGGTTTCAATTTTTTCATGGTACTTATTAACAGATAATGTTATGTTATGAGATAAATAAATAAATAAATTATAAATTCAATGAATTTATATAAATTGTAATTCGTGTAACATGACTTTTTTTTTATGTAATAAGGAGTGTGAGCGGAGTTAAATCTATTGAAACTTATTTCTGTAACTATTAAGAGGTGAATATTTTATGGGTTTAGTGTTTCTAATTTTAAATGATGAAATTACATAATTTTGGTGTGTTTTGTAATTTTTTCTAATTTATAAAATTAGAAATAAAAAAAATGCAGGAGAGAGAATATAATAAAAATTAAAACGACGTAATTTTATTAAAAATAATATAATTTTATATTATTTAAAATAATAAACAGTTTTTCCATTTTTATTCTGATGATGCTGTTAAATTTTGGATTGTGAAATATAATTTTTTATGTTGAAACAATAGTTAACTTGAGCTAAGATGGTTAGGTACAGGGTTGACAAAATGGGCCAACCCAGCTCAATCTGACTCAATTTCCGTTCAACCCGAAAAAATAAGTTGGGTTAGGGTTGGTTTGAAAAATAAACGAGTTCAGAAAACTCAACCCGACCCGAGTCGGATTAAGGTTGGCTTGCGGTTGGCTCAAAAAAATTGAAAAATAAAATAAAATTCAATTGATGCTATAATTTCTAAAATTTTTCCTAAATTATTAATTCATTCAATACAAAGACATTATACAGATAAACCATAAAAAATTTTGCATTTGGACTTGGACTTAAGTTGGCACCACATTCACACAATGTCACACATACTACAAAAAGATCCTTAATACACGGTTTTAGACTTATAGGCAGCTGCACGGTATTTTTGTTTGAGTCTTTGGAATTGGAATTTTAAGTTTTAGCTTTTCACTTTACCTTCATTAATTTTTATACTTTTTTATTAAAAAAAATAACCTGCGAGACAATCCATTTGATCCGTGAGTTAGCTCAATCTTTTTCAAATTGAAACAAGTCAGGCTGATTCGAGTTACTAACTTATTTTTATTAATCCAACCCGACTCACTTTTAGTCGGGTTATGAGCCAACCAAGCCTTGGAAGCGCCAAAAATATGGTAGGTTATTGAAATCGACGTCATATTACTATTTATTTTATTGAATCTGAAAAACGTGACGTTAGAGTTCATTGTGATTGTTAAGCATCAATTTACTGGTCGATATGTCCATTCACATACACAGGCAATTTATCCCATTCAACTTTTAGATTATTTTTATTTTTGGGAAAAAAAATCAAAACGATATATTTTGGAAAATAAATTATCCAAATGTCATATTTCAGAAAAAAAATTATGAAAATATCACGTTTCGGAATTTGTTGTTAGTTCTAATTAGACCAATTTGTTATGTGTCGTCTGAATAAAAAAGACCTGAGATAGACATGTGATAAATGGACAGTATTTTTTTTATGTAGTTGGGTTACAAGACTCGTTACTTTTTTACAATGGGTTCTTTAATTTTTCAGATGACACGTGTTGAATTGAACCAGCTAAGACTAACAAAAGTTCCTGAAACATGGTATTTCACCAATTTTTTTTGAAATATGGCATTAGATAATTTATTTCCCAAAACATGTCATTTTGGTTTTTATCCCTGATTTCTTAAATAGAAAATTAAATATAAATATAAAGGATAAAAGCATTAGGATTCATCCTATATAGAAAACTTTATTAAAATGTTGGAAAGGGAAAATATAGTAAGGAAGAACGGAAAGAAGAAAGATGAAAAGAAATGATAATTTGCCTTAAAAATTAAAAATTCAACAACCTTTTCAGGGGAATGTTATTTCTCAAGATTAAATTTATGACATCAAGTACGTTATAGTGAAAGTTAACCACTTTGCTTTGCATTTTTCTTTTTATTATGTTAATGTAAAAATTTTATTTGGTAGGGATTAAAAATGAATAACATTTTTTCTGAGGTTAGTGAATTGATTAAATAATCAACTAATTAAATTCATTATATGCTAATGCTACACCTTTGAAGATGGAAAAACTAAAGGTGAAAGTTTGTTTACTACAAAGTACCAAAGCTAACTATTACGGTAATGGAAGAGAAATGAAGTTTCTCAATTTATTCAGGTAGAAAGGACGAGTTTAGGCTTTGTTTCGGAGTTTGGAGGGGAAGAAAATGAAGGGGATCCAAAGGGGAGGGAGGGAAAGAAAGGGAAAGAAATTGAAGGATATTCTCTTCCCTTGTTTGGGAGTTAAAAAATGGCATTATACTATTTTTTTCGCATTCTTTATTTCAACTTAAGAGATAAAAAAAAATTAAATTCAAATTAATACCATTATATATGTACATTGGGAGTTAAAAAAATAGAGGGTTAAAGAGATATTTTTACCATTATACCCCATTTTTAAAATTAATATAATTATTATATTTTACAAATTAAATTAAATTCAAAAATTTCTAACAAAATTATTTATGTACTTTTCACAATACTAAAAAAGATCATATTTTCGACGAAATTTTTACGTTGCAAACGACGAAAATTTCGTCACAAAATTATTTTTTCGTTGGAATACTTTTCGTCGAAAAGCGACGAAATTTTTTCTCCGATGAAAATTTTTACAAAAATAAATTTTCTATCTAAATTTTTGACGAAGATGATTTCCTCATCAAATGTTTTAAACGAAAGAATTCTGTCAAAAATTTCGATGGAAATGTGTTCTGATAGGGTAAAGTTTTATTTGAAACTTTCGACGAAATTTAGATTATGTAAATAATTTTGATAGAATATTTTTTTCGTCAAAATTTTTTATCGAAATATTTTCGGTCAAAATTTTTACGTAAATATTTTTTGTCGAAAATTTTTGTCAAAAATGTGTTCCGTTGAAAATTTTGATGGAAATGATTTTTTTAAAAAAACATGACAGAAATATTTTTCGTCAAAATTTTTTGATGAAAATGTGTTTCGTTAAAAATTTTGACAGAAATTTTTTCAGTCAAAAAGTTTAACGAAAATGTTTCCGTCGAAAACTTTTGACGGAATTTAAATTCTGTAAAGAATTTTATGAAATTTTTTTGCGTAAAATTTTTTCGATAAAAATGTGTTTCGTTGAAAATTTTGATGGAAATAATTTTCGTCAAAATTTTCGATGAATATGTTGTTTTGTGAAATATTTTGACGAAATTTAAATTCCGTAAAGAATTTTGACAAAAAATAATTTCCGTCAAAATGTTTTTAGTCACAAATTTTGTTGGAAATATTTTTCATCGAAAATTTTGGATTGAAATGTTTTTCGTAAAAAAATTTGATGTAATTGTTTTACATCGAAACTTTGCGATTGAAATGTGTTTCATCAAATTTTGGACGGAAATATTTTCGTTGAAAGTTTTGACGGAATTTAGATTCTATCAATAATTTTGACTGGTTTTTTTTTCGTAAAAAATTTATGTCAGTGATTATGTCAAAATCTGGTTCCGTCTCTAATTTCCTCTTTAGTTTTGACGGAAATTTTTTGATGTATATGATTTTCATCAAAAATTGCATCACTATTTTTGACGAAATATTTTTCGTCGATAAATTCTGTCGATATTTGAAACTTTTCTAATAATGTCACATTTAAAAACGATTCACATTTATGTATTTTTCACATTTTAATGCTAAGGGTAGATAAGTAATTTTTAATATTTCTACCCTCAGATCTCCCAAATTGGGAAAACTTTAATTTTAAGAAGAAAGAGGGTTTTGGAGGGTTTATTAAAATGATTTTATAAGAGTTATATTGTAGGAAAAGTGATTGTGTAATGTTATAGAGATTTGTTTTGCGTGCCTTAGTTTTTTTTTTTTGCTTCAAAAAGTGCGGATCCCACAAAATATTGTGTGTGTAGGAAATTTCTTTGTGTCATGTTACATGATGAATGCAAACCCTTAGTAAAAATCTTCAATTTCTTTTTCTCATTTTTTTAAACTCACAAACAAGGAAAGGATTTACTAAAATCCTTCATTTTCTTTCCTTCTCCTCCTAAAATCAACTCCCAAACGAAGCCTTAATGAATAGAGAAAAGCTGTAAGTGTATAGTTTTACCAAATTTATTTCAGATTAAGTACAAGCTGCTCTAAGGGTGTAAACTGTAAAATATGGCTTCGGTTATTCTTGGTTCTGAAAATGAAATTGTCTCACAAATTAATTAGAGATAACTCTGGAACCATTTTTTTTTCCACAAGGGTATCAGAAAAATTGCCAATTATTTATTGCTTGCTTGTTTTTAATGATTCTCTACAAACATTTATAGTAAAATAATAAATAAATATTTTATACCTAGCCTTGATACAATATCCCTATGATTATCATAGTAACTCCTTATTTTACTTG